GGTTAACTCAGGTGTGAAGGATACCGATCAGTTGGATGCTCCACAAATCTGTTCTTTATGAATAATACAAAAGGAAAAATTTAAAGCAAGTTTAGTTCAGCAAAAGCTACTATGTGGGGAAAACAGCAAAACACATGGAGGAAGTTCTGGGGGTCAAATGATGAATGGAGGAAAACAGTGAACACAGCATCCCGTAGTGAAACACATGTGGCAGCATCCAGCTGTGGAGCCTCTTTTCTTACACAGCAGGGATGCTGGGGAGCGGCTTGTTCAGTCCGCGCTGGAGGTTCTTCTTTCAGCATTAACATTCTTTATATTAGTGTTTTAGCTGAACAATAATGCACTATTTAGCATTAGGCTGATACATAAAATGCCAAAGTATGTCAAGTTTTTAGCTGTAAATCAACAAAAATGAAAAAATATAATGGCTATCAATGCTCGTCAATAAGTGCTAGTTTGCATTGGTACATAGCAGAGACTTGACAGGGAGAGTTTGACAAAAATAAGTTTGCAGTAGAAATCAACGACTGATTAATTTCCTTCTCCTTGGTGTAAAAAACACAAAACAAAATAAAGCAGAAACAGTCAAATAGAGACGCTTCAAACGTACCTTGACGAAATCGAGGCCGCAAAGTTTGGCCTTTGATCCAAACTGCCATTTGCACTGCGTGTCTGCGTCATACAGCTGCCCGGGAAGCTGCTCAGGATACTTATACTGACCGATCTGCTTCGGTTCGTCTCCGAGGCAGGATGCCTGGGCCGTTCTGGGGAGAGCAACGTATCGGCAACATGAGGATTATGTAGTAATAACCGTGAGGCTAAGTTAGCATCTGTAGCTGTGGGGCCTACCCAAGGAAGCGGCTGAGGTACTGCCGACTGCAGGTGGACCAGGAGAAGACTCCGTTATTACCAGCCAATGTTGGAGACATGATGTTGCCCTCTGTCTTACGGCAAGGGTTTCCTTCGCCATCATGGATCATCCCAAAACTGAAAAATAGACATAAATATATATTCATTTTACAAAAAAAAAGATTATTAGTGTTTGTTCCTGATGATGGGTGTAAAGGATTTATTTCCAACCATTGATAATATGAACTTGAACAAAAACAAGTTTGGAAAAGTAGAAAAATGAACTGACTTTCCTTTTCTGCATACGTTTTGTATCTCTGATATGAAACAGCGAAGAAGAATCTTTATCCATGTGTTTGTACCCCTTTAAGGCATTTTCCTGCATTGATTCTGCCCTAACGTAAATTAGCTTTTGCAAAGAAGACTGATAATGACCCATCCAATGGGGCGTTATCATCCAATGGATGGTCTTTTTTGCATTTACTCCTAAATTCAAAGAAGTCAGACCCTAATATGTGGTCCTGGAGTTTGGTGGCCCCTCCCAGTTCCCGTTTCTGAGTCTTATCAGTCTTTCCAGGCGACTTTTTGCTTTTTAAGGAGTATTTAAACCAGCCTTCTACAAACACAG